ACTCCGGAGCGTGCCTTCCCAGAGCGCGTGCTTGGACGAGGGGACCCTTTCAGCCAGGCTGGCAGACAACAGCAAAACGCCGGGTGGGAATCGATGTCTTGGCGAGCCCCACCGAGTGCAACAGCGGAACACCGTCAGGGCACTACCGGGACTTTATCGGGGCACCATGTGGACTCGTACTCATCGGGCCAGTCAGGGAGCACTGACGTGGCAGCTTTAGGTGGGGCCTGGAGACACGGCCGGGGCAACGGCAAGTGTACCTTCAGGCCTCAACAGGACACCACCAGGACACCTGGTAAGTACATGTGGGCCCTATTGGGGCGCAAGTGGTTGGTCGGGCCTACCCGGACCAACGCCGGGGGGAATGCATCTTCATTTCGCTTTGTGTCGCCCATGCGACGGAACTCGCAATTTTGCGTGCTCGCATGCGCAGCTCCGTGGGGTCGGTCCGCGCGAACGGCAAAACATCGAATCAGATTTCTCGGTGGGCCTGTGGCACGACCGCGCCTCCCAACCCATCGAGGGCACGACGTCCCACGTAGCCGCCAAAGGGCACCGCATCTTCAGAACATTACTGTGGCGGGCCGCGGTGGCAACTTCTCCGGTCTTTCTTGGGGACTGCGTGCTGCGTATCCCCTCACGATCCTGATCAGTGCAAGTTGCCGTGGCGTCGGTGCTGCCCACCAGCTCCTCTGCTGGGCTTGTCGTTTGTAATCGAAGAAATGTTGCAGCCCCCCCTCCCCCCAACTCCGTGCCAGTCACTCTGTTCCTGCTGCCTGTCTGTGGGGCTGTCCACTGCCAAGCAGTGCCGGTATCTACATCGACGTCTTGGGGGTGAAAATTATTTTTGGAGCCACTGTCTTAATCTATCGGGGCTCTAATGTGGTCGAGGGGTCTAACGGGGAGCGAAGCCGGTGCCTACCCACAGGGTTGGCGAGGTCTGGGCAAGGTCTGGAGGTTTCGAATAGAGGTATTTCAGTTGAGCACCCCGGCCCCATCAGGCCATCGGAGATTTTTGGGCCGCAGGCCTGTTAGCGCAGCAGAAAAAATGTTCTCAGCAAGGCGGACAAATGGGGGGGAGGAGGTCGTGGAGATATCGGGGCAGGGCGACATCGACAATCAGGCGGTGCTCGCTGTCGAGGTGGCGATATGTAAGTCTGTGTACGTGCGCCGACAAAAGGAGATCGCACCAAACGGTCTCTCCAACCGCAGCCCTGAAATATTGCAGTAGCGGGTAAGGCCGGCGATGCAGCAAGCGCCCTCCACGTCACGTGACCAAGAAGCGTGTGCCTCTGTGTCAACTGAGCGGTCCTCTAACTTTTCAGTCCTTGTCGTCGCTGCGCTCCGGACGGGCGTGCAAACAAAGGTGCCATCGTCAGAGACGGGCGTGTCGGAATCCGAGCGGCGTGCGCAGCAGTGGCGGATGCTCGACTGGTGGTGGGTGCCTGACTGGTCTGACAGGGCAGGTAGCTTGAACGCACTACAAGATGGCGAAAAAATCGGTGCACCCAGGATCCTGTAAGACCCCCCCCCGGCATCTGCAGTCCCTTCTCTCAGGCGTCAATCTGCCCTCTCCGATCACTTCGTCAATTTCGGTATCGCGGCCCTGAGTGGAAGGATGAGCAGACGATCCACTTCTAGCGTTTGCATCAGGCGACGACCTTGTGCACCGCCTGCGGTAGACTTGCGCGAGTAAGGCTTGGCAGCGCCACTGTCTCGCTGACGCGCGGCATTCTGACTTGAAGCATGTGTACATGGCGTGCGTGCCCCATGTTTGAGGCGGCTGGTTCGGGCACGTTGTGTGGTGCGCCTCACTGTGCAGCAACGGGTCTGACACGACTTCGCCTGTGGCTAACTAAGATCGGTCTCGACACTTCTGTGTTGCTGTCTCCTTCCCCTCTCTTCTTCTCCTCTCCTTTCCGTGGTCTCTGCTCTCTGCCGGGAATGATACCCCACACTCGTCGTGCTGGCGCGCGGCCCTCGTGAGCGGATCGCTCTGCCGTTAGCGGCCCTCGTGGGTCGATCTCTGCCGCCAAGGGACCAGGACTGGGCAGTTGCGGGCGGCAGCGGCGGCTCCGCCATCCCGCGTCCCCCCCGTCCTCCTCCCTCGCCCTGCCCCTTCTGCCCCTGCGCCCGCCCAGGGAAGTGCGTGCTGCACGACCTTTGCGCGTTATCTGTCCCCCTGCTTTCCGAAGCAGTTTTCTGCGCCATCGCAGCGCGCCGTCACCCAAGACACATTGCACACCGGGGCCGCACTGTGGCCACAGCAGCAGGTGCACAAATGGTGCGGGCCTTGACTGAATGGCGATGGGAAAGGCAGCAAATCCTGTGGGAGAGGACCTCAGTGCGAAGGGCCAAACACATTCGGGAAAGGAGGTCTCCTCGGCAGATGTATCGAACCGAAACGCCTCGATTTTTCCACCACTACTGTATAGACGGGGACCTAAGTGAGGCCACGTTTTCACTGTGTTGTTAGGGTTTGAGTTTTTTTTACCCTCGA